CACACACACACACACACACACACACACACACACACACACACACACATCGCCCACACCCATTCGCTCGCACATACACACCAGGCAGACCTAATTTTGAGGTCTAGCAACGCCAAGTTTTTTGACAAGAAAAATTTATGTATTTTAATAAAATATTTTTATTTTTTGTACTGTTACCTGCTCTGTAATTCTTTGCGATGCGATTAAATCTTTTAAAATACATATATAAACTTTGTATTTAAATACCTTGTATTCCCTTGTTGGATTTAAATATTTTAATAAAATATTTGTATTTTGTACTGTTACCTCTGTGTAATTCTTCATGATTCAATTTTTTATTCTAATCGAAGAAAAGCAGTAGTAATATTATACCTCGAAAAAACCTAAGTAACAAGTGGTAGACGTAATCTTTGTATCTCGAAAAATATATGTTCTCTGTAATTAGCGCTGTAATTTAAAAAGAGATATCATTTCTTTTTTGTAATTGTAGTAATAGATCACTTGAAGCGCGACTCATTTTTTGATAAGGTAACGTAATTTTGTGATGTGTATCACTTGAGTAATAATTTTTTGGAAATAAAAATAATACTGCTTACGTTTTTTCGAGATTTTTGGAGATACAAAGATTACGTCCACCACTTGTTACTTAGGTTTTTTCGAGGTATAATACTACTACTTTGTTTTTTTTTTTTAGGTGAAGATACTACTGTTTAGGTTTTTTCGAGATTTTTCAAGATACAAAGATTTCGTCTACCACTTGTTACTTAGATTTTTTAAGGTATAATACTACCACTGTTTTTTTTTTTTTCGAGGTAACAACATATACACTACTATGCGTGTACTTGGCGCCTTTCTTTACCTTTTTTTTTTAAAAAAGGTAATTTTGTACAGATATCACGCCTTTTTGTAGTATTACGCATTGTATAAACAATATGTACAGGGTGTTATTTCGAGGTATAATACTACCACTTTGTTTTTTTCGAGGTAACAACATAATACATATATACTACTATGCGTGTACTTGGCGCATTTTTTTACCTTTTTTTTGAAAAAGGTAATTTTGTACGGATATCACGCCTTTTTGTAGTGTCATATAAGACGTCGGCGTTAGAAGTAGATAGAAGAAGAAGTATCTTAATAAAAAATTTTCACATTTGGACTTTGCGTCGCAATATCTCCGCTCGTAGGGCACGGAGCGGGATATTATAAGAGAAATCCCCTCCCCCTAATTGGACCTCCAGCTATCGATCAAGCCTACTTAGAACTTTATCCGTTCACTCGTTATTGAGATCTCAACATCTCGGGTACTCGCAACCCGTCGCGTCGCGTAAAAGAGTCACGATCGGTCTCGCTCCGCGTGTATCCTTTACAAAAAAGTATTACTAGCTGGTTAGTAATAAATACTTATTTTGT